GCCGACGGCTGAGAGGGCTGCTGATCAGCAGTTGCCCATGTCCTGCCAGCCCAGCCTGACTGTAGGCGTATTTAAAGCCTCCCAGCGCTGAGCAGATGTTACGGCACTCTTTATCTGTCTTTGGGCTGTAGTGTTTTTCTCAGTATCTGTCCTAAATGGAGGTTTAATCACTCAGACACTGGGGGCTTTTCTGCTTTTAGCAGCAGTCCATTTATCACTCATTTATAAAACGGACAATCGGACAAAAACAAATTCTGTGAAAGGCACCGGGCTCCTCCGGCGCGTCTCTCCCAGTGCGTAAATTGGATACGTGTCCATCAAAGCGCAGATCAGGAATGACGCCTGTACCCAGAATTCCCTGACTGACATCCAACACAATAATTCACACAATGCTGGTGGTTGTCGTACAGACATTAACTGCGGATTGATTCACACGCTAAACAGCTTTTAGCCCCCGGCACCCCTCCTGCACCCCCCCTCCGAAATTTATAGCAGAATCCTGTGGAAGTGGGCATACTTAATCTCATAAATAATTCAGTGTACTCTCACAGTGCCTCTAGGGGGAGCTCTCTCACATTTGACATCACAAATGCTATCTTCAGGGGAGGACTGGGTGAGATGAAGGCCAAAATACACTTTGTTCTTACACACACTATCTGTTTCATCTTTATGGCTGTATGATCAAACATCAGTCTGATAATTTACCATCTTTATCATTAACAATCCTACAGCCTATACTGGTATCTATTAGCAGTAAACGAAGTAACTCACTTATAATTAAAGATGAACATTTTTGTGACTGAATTATGTTTATTTTCCTCAGCAAAAATTTCAAAAGTATGTTATAACCAGACAAAAGCTTAATAGTTTATATGTGGCACCCCCCCCCCACCACCACCACCCAGACAGGTCTACTGAACATCCCATAAGCCACACCTCCTAGAGAGAAGCTAAATAAGGTTTATATAACCACACCCTCCTGATAGAGGTCTAGTGAACACTCGGTAAGTCACACCTCCCACAAAGAAGCTTTATACAGTTAATAAAGGCCACACCCCCTTGCGATCTATTTAGGGCCGGGGTGGGGACCCTGATCCATGGAGGGCTGGTGTGGGTGCCGGTTTTTGGGATTTTTCAATCAGCCAATAACAGTCGGTCCCCTGGACTGGAGTTGAGATCCACTGCTTCATTTTTGGCTGATTGAAAGGTCACCCCAAGAACCTGCACCCACGCCATCCCTCCATGCCTGGATTAGGACATCTTCCCCAAGAGAATCTTGTACAGGGCTGCTCACACACAAATATCACTGTGTTTCCTGATTACTTAATAAAAAATACTAAAAAGACTCAAAATAATTTAGATTTTACTATTGATCATCTCCTGCATTATGAAAAATCCTCCAGCCCCACATGGGAAGCAATGCTTCTTTCAGAGGGTCCCGGCATCTTCCTGTCAGTAGGAAAATGCAAGATTGTCATAGACTAATAGGTAAAGTCACGTGTGGCACAGAGACTGAGCAGCAGGACCTGCGTTTATTTCACTTTTTCAAGGACATGCGGAAGTCGGTGGACTTTTGGGGGGATGGTGGGCAGGACCAGGGAAGCACACCAACGTTAAAGGCTGGGGGCAAACAGTCACGATGCTTGCAAGCAGACCGCTGGACTTACTCTCACGTCATCCCACAATGAGGCTTTAGGATCAGTCACCAGGGGTCGAAAATGAAACAATGCGATAGTAGCGCAGGTGAAACAGAAATGACAGGCGGAGAACATCAGCACCAACCCTGAATCGCTCTCCTGAGACGAATACATTTCACAGATATCCAATGCTTTCATGCAAATGCAGCAACATGCAGTATATGCGACCTTAACACAGCTTTGAACCCATATTCCTGGTGGTGAGACATCAAAGGAAAATGTTTATTGTGATGTAATGATTTGGAATCGATCAGTCGTAATGTTGTAAAATAGTAAATAAATCCATGGGGTGTAAATCCAAAGTGTGCAGCTTGGAGTCCTAGCTGTGGTCCAGCAGTTTCATTATGCAGGTGAATAGCCAGTTGTCAACAACAACAACAACAACAACAACAACAACAACAAAACCATGGTTGAAATCACAGGTAAAATGTTAAATCCAAAACAAAGTGACCGCAAAGGCACATGTCAGGTGACTTCTCATAGGAGCATAATTATTGTAGGAGCGTTGTAAAAGTTAAGGAAATATCACCGAGGGGCAACGTGACCCTGTCGGTACACTTTCAAGTGCAAGGAAGCCTTTTCATTGGCAGCTGCAGTGTGCATAATTCTGCATTATTGTTCCATGGCTTGTATTTGTTCATTGACGCTACAAATCTTCTTAGAGCTGGCTGTAGGTTTTATGCCATAGTACACCTCTGTGCGTATACTGTACGTCACTCAAACCACAAATTTGCGAGGGCCCCCGAGAGGGGGTGGGGATGATTGGTCCCGAAGTTACTTTTTGAATGTGGCCCAAGAAACAACAGAGCCGCTTCTGTAAGCACAACGGGATCGCATTTTCTTAGGTGTTAAGCGAACAGAGCAAGGCAATCTGTCCTCCAGCGCGCAGATTAATATTTCATGTGCACCGGTTCCCAGCGATGCATTTACATAGAGTTGGCAATACTTATCCTAAGCGTTAATAATTTAAAAATTACAATAAACAGGGACATGATAAAGATAGTGGTATACATTCAAAGCACACACATTTCCCTGAGAGCGCGCCTTTAACCACCACGGAGAAATGAATAAAACGGAGGCGCGCAGGCGAGTTTCCCCGGTATGTCCCCGGGCATGACGTAGGTCCCAACGCCCAATCAGTTAAAGATAAACCCTTTACCATGTCAAAAACAGGAACTTGGAAGAAAAGGAAACCAGCCGGACCCCAATAACCACCGAGCCCCCCACAACACACACACACTACCGAGGGACGAACTGCTGTTACCCCCCCGGGTACCCATTTGTGCTCAAGGAACTGAAAGAACAACAACAACAACAATAATTACAGTAAATGCATCGATTGTGTCTTTCTTCAATTGGAGGCGCGGTGCAACAGTCTTCTTGGATAAAAGCAGTGAGAGACTGCCCCCATTATGTAGTGGATGTGCAAATTAATAAATAATGAAGATCATTAATATGCGCTCCTGATTACTGATACTGTAAGAGATATGGAGAGAGCAGAAGAGCGATCAAATGAAAATGATTTATGTAAAAAACAAAAAAGAAAAACGTCTAAGTGACGTTCATCAGTGTAGGACTGGGGATTGTCTGGCTTTGTCAAACTTTAAATTTCCATTTTGTTGTTTTAAATAGCTCTTTAGTTGCAGACGTGTTCAACCGAGACTTCAGTCTGAAAGTGATTTCTCCCACTTCAGATTCAGATCAACGACAGAAATCATTTATGTCCTGAAATGATTGAGGTTCATTTTTAAATGGCACAATTCCATGGTCCCTCCGTTAGTTTTAAACTTATCTTACATTATATTTGTGTGTGTGTGTGTGTGTGTGTGTGTGTGTGTGTGTGTGTGCGCGCGCGCGCGCGCTCGTGCAACAACGGCACATTAATTAAAAAATGAACATCAAAAATATTTCTGGAAATATGAGAATCTGCATACCGAAGTAGCACAGTAACATAACAGGGGTCTGACCTTGACAACATTTTTTTTTGTTCGGATATATAATTTAGTACGAAGGACTCACACACTGTAGCTAGCAGTACAAACATCTTCAGACAATAATAATAAGGCACACAGTGAGTTTCAGTATAGTCATGAAAATGCATCGCCGTTGTTTATTTTCATGGCAAAACGCCGTCATTTTGACGTGATGTAATTCCCCTTTGATCGTTATCTCAGTGCGTATCAAGGACGTGCCAAGTTCTGTTTTTTTTTCTTCTCCACTCACCCACTCATTCACTCATTCAGTTCACAGGTAAATAAACGCACGCAGGGCTCCGCCAGAGGAGGGCGCTGTGCTCAATAGACGCTTCGGGGCTCCATCGCTCCTGAAGCTAAGATGCTGCGTGGTTACACTGCAGTTCAATATGAAGCCAAGAATAATTTAAAATGCAGTCCATACATCTGAACACTGCATTTCTGTTGTGGGAAATCATTTGTATTTGAGTACTGAAGTTCTGAGGTTTTAGAGGTACGCCCGGATATAAATGAATTTTAACTACATTTTGCTGCCGTGACGCCGCAAATTGACTCGGTTAATTACAGATATACATTCAAACACTGCTTAATATATAAACAAACCCAAGCATAGCATTACAGTTCCATTAAGGGGGGCACCTGTTGGCTCTCTGCTTGGGAACCAGAGTCTGTATGTGGTTTTATTGCGGCTGACATGTTATAAGATGTCACGGCACTTCGCACAGATACCCTGGGGGTGGGGGTGTGGGGGGGGGGGGACTTAAGGGATCGTGCCTTACCCCCACTTTACACGGACACACTTGTTAAGCAGCGGTCCCTTTTCAATGGGCAGCCTTAGGATGCGACTCACGCTCCTTACCACCCTAAGCACTCCAGCCCTACAGACACCCAGCTGCCGACCCCCCGGTGCATCGTCAGGTAGGCGCTTTTCCTCTTACCGTGTCAAGTTTATCCAGTACGGCATTTCAACGCCCCCCCTCCCCCAACCCTTCCCCAAAACACACGCACACACACGCACACACACACACACAGAAAAGCTTTGGCACACCCGTTTCGGGAGGATACTTTATCACGAAGACATGCACGCTTTCAAGCGGCCGGTGTGATACATCCGCATCCCTGTTGAAGTCACTCGGTCCCTCAACATTTATTTTCAGGATCGGGTCTTTTTTTTCTTTTCTTTTTCCTTTTTCTTATCTTTCCCCTTCCCCTTTTATTTTCTTTTATTTTCTTTTCTTCTTCTTGCACCATACTCCGTGCGCCTCGATGCAGATGCAGCCCAGTTCACTTTGGCTACAGGGAGGCGGTGGGGGGGCAGGGGGGGGTTAAAATTACACGGCGCTCTCCCTCATTTCGGCACAGCCAGATCCCCGGTGATGGTGCTTTATTATACGCACGCAGTCCGCCGCTTTGTCCGCATCTCTTCCTTGCTCACTTGTCCCATCTCGGCTTGTCTGAATTATTCATCTTTTTTCCAGTAAATACAAGAGCACGTTTTTGGTTTTTTTCGCAGAGACCCGGAGCTCGGAGCGATCCACCGGTCCTGCGACACCGGCACTCCGGAGGTGAGTAGCCGCGCGTCGGATCATTTCGCCCCGCTTTCCCCGTGTTGCCTCTGCGTCATTGCGCTTAAGATCGCCGCATCCGCGCCGAGTGCATGGGCTGTCTGTGCGCACTCGTCTTTCACTCTCTTTTTTCGCTCTTCCCCTTCTCGATCTGGAGGATGCCGGAGTTGTCTGGCAGTCGTGCCAGCCGCCTGCCGCTCTGTCCCTGCCGCCAGCCTCACCGTCCCAATGCAGCTCCTTCTGCGCCCATTCCCACCTGAAACGGCTCGCAGGGATACCGGCGACCTTGGGATCCTACCAAAATAAGTCCCATTCCAAGACGAGCGCGGCTTTTCCTTTTTTTCCGGGGGGGGGACCTGGGAAACCACATCTGCTCGTGTGGATATACTGCTGCTCCGCGCGCCCGTCAATGCTCCCTGTCATTTCGAGAGAAAGCCAATTTCCCCTGGCTCGGGGTGAGTCTTAACTTATTTATATTGCTCGCTACTATAACTATGTCTTTATAGCCAGATTTGTGGGGGGCGGGGGTAGTTTACATATATTTGCTTTTATATCTGGTAATATATTTTGAGTTATACTCTAGCTTTCGACGTGCGAGCTTTGATCGTCCCGTAGGATAGACTGTAAATGATACTGGCTTTTCTGATAAATTACCCAAGTAGCTCGACCCTCGCAATTTTCTAATCTGTCAGCAGAACCCCGTTCAGTTCTTTTCTTTTGAAATGACGAAAAAAAAACAGTAGTGTCGGGTTTATAGTATTTATTATTATTATTATTATTATTATTATTATTATTATTATTACTACTACGTGTTTTCATTTGCATACGATACAGCATTTGATCATTCCTAATATTAGTTTAAGGGTAAATAAATCGTTACACTATTTAGCTGTAATAAACTTGCAATACATAATATTACTAATAGTTTTAGTTGGTATCATGATTGCTTTTGTATTTTTATTTTATTTTATCTTTTTTTATTTTATATACATATATTTTTTACTTTTCCCCTTCCCTTTAAGGTTATTAAATTGTATTCTGGGGGATTTCTCTGCACACAGAAAATGCTGCTTCTCGTTCTGTTGGCGTTTTCCGTGTCGGGCTCCTCCGCTAACTCGGATGCTGACCTGTCCGCCGAGACCTGCAGCGCCTGCTCCTGCATGTCCATCGAGAACGTCCTCTACGTGAACTGCGAAAAAATCACGGTCTACAGACCGACCAATCTGAGGCCCCCAGCATCCAGTCTCTACCACCTGAATTTCCAGAACAACCTATTGATTATCCTTTACCCCAATTCCTTTCTCAATTTCACACACGCTGTGTCCCTACACCTGGGGAACAACAAATTGCAGAACATTGAGGGAGGGGCTTTTTTTGGACTAAGTTCATTGAAACAGTTGCACTTAAACAACAATGAATTAAAGGCTCTGAGGGCTGACACTTTTTTAGGGATTGAGAATTTGGAATACCTCCAGGCCGACTATAACCTGATCAAGTTCATCGAAAGAGGAGCCTTCAACAAGCTGAATAAGTTGAAAGTCCTCATCTTGAATGACAACCTCATTCAGAACCTTCCGGACAATATTTTTCGATTTGCGTCCCTGACGCACTTGGATATACGGGGAAACCGGATACAGAGGCTGCCGTACATTGGAGTTCTGGAGCACATCGGGCGAATCGTGGAGCTGCAATTGGATGACAACCCTTGGAACTGCACATGTGACCTGCTGCCCTTGAAGGCCTGGCTAGAGAACATGCCGTACAACATCTACATCGGGGAGGCCATCTGTGAAACCCCCAGTGACCTTTATGGGCGGCTCCTGAAGGAGACCAACAAGCAGGAGCTGTGTCCCTTGGGGATGGGGAGTGACTTTGATGTCCGAATGCCGCCTCTGCAGCCTGACACCGGGCAGACCACCTCCAATGCCTCCCCGACGACCATCCCGCGCCTGGTCACCAGGGCACCCAAGACCACTAACCCCTCCAAAATCTCTGGCATCGTGGCCGGGAAGCTCTTCCCCGGGAAGAACCTGAGCCAGATCGTCTCGTTCCAGACCAGGGTGCCGCCCCTCTCCCCCTGCCCCGTCCCATGTACCTGCAAAGCACACCCCTCCGACTTCGGCATCAGCGTCAGCTGCCAGGAGAGGAACATCGAAAACGTCGCAGACCTGGCCCCGAGACCCCCCAATGCGAAAAAGCTCCACCTCAGTGGCAACTACATCAAGGACATCAGTCCTACAGATTTCCAAGGCTTTGAGGGCCTTGATCTCTTACATCTGGGCAGTAATCAGATAATGGCCATCCGGAAAGGAGTGTTTGCCAACCTGACTAATCTACGCCGGCTATACCTGAATGGCAACCAGCTCGAGAGGCTCCATCCTGAAATGTTCCTGGGGCTCACCAACCTTCAGTACCTCTACCTGGAATACAATGCCATCAAGGAGGTGCTCGCAGGCACCTTTGACTCCATGCCCAGCCTGCAGCTACTCTACCTGAACAATAACGTTCTGCGGAGTCTGCCGGCCTACATCTTCGCCCGCGTCTCCCTGGCCCGCCTCAACCTGAAGAACAACCACTTCATGACCCTGCCGGTGAGCGGCGTCTTGGACCAGCTGCGCTCTCTCACGCAGATCGACCTGGAGGGGAACCCCTGGGACTGTACATGCGACCTGGTGGCCCTGAAGCTCTGGCTGGAGAAGCTGGGTGACGGCGTCGCCGCCAAGGACGTGCGCTGTGCCTCCCCCGTGCAGTTCTCTAACATCGAGTTGCGGCTGCTCAAGAACGAGATCCTGTGCCCAAAGCTGGTGGCAAGGCCCCCGTTCATCCTGACCAGCCCCACGCCCGTGGTCACCTCCGCTTTCCCGGCAGGCGTGGGCCGGACGCCTCCCGGTGGCCCCGTGCCGCTGTCCATCATGATCCTCAGCATCCTGGTGGTCCTCATTCTTACCGTCTTTGTGGCCTTTTGCCTGCTCATCTTTGTCCTGCGACGCAACAAGAGGCCCACGGGCCGTTCCGAAGGCCTGGGAAACCAGGAATGTGGCTCCATGTCGCTGCAACTGAGGAAGCACGAGCATGGCAAGCAGGACGACCTGGCGAGCGAGGCCTTCATCCCGCAGACCATCGAGCACATGAGCAAGAGCCACACGTGTGGCCTGAGGGACTCCGAGGCCGGCTTGAAGTTCGCTGACTCCCAGAGGCAGAAGACCCTGCTCAGGAACAGCTCCGACAAGGACAAGGATTCATTGCAGCTGTTGGATGCCAGAAAGAGACTGAGCACCATCGATGAGCTGGACGAGTTCATACCGAGCAGGGAGTCCAACCTGTTCCTGCAGAGCTACCTGGAAAGCAAAAAGGACTTCAACAGTATAGGGATGGGCGGGTTCGAGATTCGCTACCCAGAGAAACCGCACGACAAAAAGATTAAAAAGTCCCTTATCGGGGGAAACCACAGTAAGATTGTGGTGGAACAGCGCAAGGGTGACTATTTTGAGCTGAAAGCAAAACTCCAAGGTACCCCAGATTACCTGCAGGTGCTGGAGGAACAGACAGCTCTGAGTAAAATGTAGGGCTCCCCTGTCGCCCCCCTCACCCCAGTGACAGAAGTGCCTTCCAGAAAAATCATATTAAGTAATGGATAATTGGACCACTGTTTCCATGGAGAACTCCATCATTATGACATCATTTCCTTTAGAATTAGAGGCTGTACTGCAAATAAGGCCTTTGTCCCTCTCCCAGTGCGGTTATACAATGTTCTGCTCTAATGTCCCATCAGCCCACACTGAACTTCTAGGCGATAGCCCAACAGATGGCGTAGTAAGCGTCTGCTAGAGCAAATCCAGCGCCTTTTTCCTGTGTTTTTTTTTTCCTTTTCAATGGAACCACTGGATCTTTCAACAGTACAACGTGGTTTCCCTATTTCCACCCCTCCTGGGTAGTTTGTTCTTCTTATAATTGTCATTTTTCTGGTGGAAGTAAGGAGGTGGGATAGCTGGATAAGCAGACAATACCAAAACTGGAGCCTCTTAAGTTTGCCCGGGAAGCTACGAAAAGGTTTGGATTTCTTTGTATTACGCTAACGCTGTTGAAGCGGCCATGTACAGTGCTGAGGATTATGGGTCGCCGTCGCTGAGGGGCCTGCAGCACCTGTGCTCACCGGTAACGAAAGGCATGTTAAAACTTAAAAACAAACAAAAAAACTGTAGTTTTTCAATTATTCCAGTAAATATTTATGTAAAGATTAACCATGTTAATATTGTTTTAAAATGAAAAGGTGGTTCCCTGAGGTGATGAGAGCTTGTTAAGGCGACCCCCCCCCCTCGATTCGCCCCATCCGTCCCCCTCCCCCCATCATGTCGGGACGCTGAGCTCAAAGGGGAAAAGGGTAAAAAAGCAGCTGCTTGCCATGCAAGCGTATCTCTGTTTATTTTGTAAAACTTCATTATTTGTATCTGTGGAACAGTTTGTAAAATAAAACGCCCAAGAACTGAGATGACAGTACAGACAAAAAACACACAAAAACACTGGACTAGCTACAGCAACAAAAATGGTCAAATTATCGACAACCACTGTCAGCTGTCAATTTGTAGATCGGTTCACTTATTATTTAATTTATTTTTCTACGGAGGGTTATTTAAAGCTGGTCAGCACTATTTAAATGCATCACGGACACAGAGGATGTGTGAGTGAGTTTTCGGATGGCCGTAGAAAATACGATGCCTCTGCCTTGGGCCTTTTCTGAGCTTATTGGCTTGGAGAGTCGGGTGCTGTCTGTTACCAAGTGGCGCCCTCTCTGGCAGCTTTCACAATTACGTTGCACCAGGCGAGCCTCAATCAATTAGCACACTCTTATATCCCATAATAATTTGTAAAGGTTTCTTATTAATAATATGCAACCAAAATAAATGTGCATTATAGTGACACGATTCTGGACTGATGGCAGCGGAACCTTCCGGAAGGGAATGACAGAAGGTTGAGTCTGCAGAGCCATGATTCCACGCTGGAGGGCACACACACCGAGCCCTTTGCTCAGTTACCCAACATGTTCAGGATCTTATCACGCATCATGTGCAATATTAATACACGCAGTCACATCTGCTGAAACTGACATTGTGGGAATAGCTTCTGCTCTTTCCAGATGCTTCTATACACACTACATTTGGTTAAGTACTTATTTAAAAAGCTGTTAAGTTAAAGAGTGTTTGAAATGATCTCTTTTCTTTTCTTTTTGAAATACAAGTGAATAGAATGTAACTTGAAAAGCATAATAAACATAACTGCTCTGAGTCAGGATTTATTTATTTTCCTCATTTTTAACTACTCAGATTTTGAGCATCAACTGAACCTCCTTCTTCCACTGTTTTTTTTTCCCTCTCTATAAAATTTCATTCGTCGTTAGCCTTGCAGTACACCTAATTAAAAAGGTCCCAAAATAATAATCAGGGGAAATTGGGTGGCATTATGTTCACATGTAATTTTGAATGATACCTTTAATACCAAGCATAACGCAATTTCAGCTACTTTCATGAGTGCACTGCTCCTGGTTATTCTGTTTTGATGTCAACAATGATATGATTTACATGAAAATGGCTACATCTCCTGGTTTATCTCCATCGCTTATAACATAATGCCATAAACAGTGACTGCTGCGTGGTTTAAGAGAGAAGTGGATCTGCCTTGTCTTATTGCCTGATCCAATCAGCACACCACGCCTTGCCGCTTCCTCTGAGCCCAAAAGCCCGAATGTATCTCTGATCCGATTTCTGGCAGCTTGCGCTGGGCCAGTTTAGCTCTGGGTTAATGACACGGGGGTCTCAGAGTGTTTTATGGAAGCCATGTGCTGTCCAGCCGGCATTTATTCCTGGCGGGGTGAGGTTATAGGGTTCGGTCGGCCGTTTGGGATTTTTTGCGGTGTATGAACTGCAGATGATTGCTCTGTGTGTGTATGGTTTAACCCGTTCCATCCATCCATCCATTGTCCAACCCGCTTATCCTACTGGGACCCATTTCCTTTTGGATTTTAACTGGATAACCCCCCTTACCGAGTGTACTGCTGCCTCTCGCAATTGATTTATTAAAGTTTTTAGCTTGACGTGGCAAAAATACAATCCGATACCAAGCAGTATCTTTGTTTAGAGTAATCATTTTGTGTTTTCCTTTGATTAATGATCATTAATAGTGAATTACCTTTTCACCACTGCAGATTCTGTGGCCGCACCCTGCATATCTTTCCAGTGCCATAACAATGCCATCCCAAAGGGGGCGCTAGATGTACAGTCGGGCCTTGGCATTCACACCCAGCCGGCTTAAGAATTTTGCGAGTGTAAATCACAAGCGCACGCTGAGCTTATTTAACCAATCGGGTCGGCTGTCGCATGAGCCGGTTTAAACCCGCACAGACGGTGCATGAGCCCAGACGAGAACCAGCAAAGGGGACCGTCACACAGACCAGGTCCGGCAGAGCTCCTCTCGATAGCCCTGGAAATGCACCTCCCTCATGTTTGAGATCTGGTGGCCCTTTGACTTGGGGTTGTTTGCCATTCTGTGATCCTGTATGTTCGTTTGCTCATCTTTTACAGCCTCATTCCTCCCCTGAATAATACTATCATCTCAAGATGGTATCTGTGTGCCGGGTGATTCAGGCTCATACTGGGACTTGTTTTCGCTTGACCTTTAGCGCCATTCGTATTCAGGCAGGCTGCATAATGTAGACTCCTCTCCGGGCTTGGCCGTGTGAGGCAGGAAAGCTGCTCGGCAGGGCCGGGAATGCCGGGAATCCTTTTGTTAAGGACACAAGCCAGACGTCCACGACTCGTTACGCTAGCTGAAGTCGTGTCCGCGAGGGAGGGAGGCCGGCGTGCCGGCATGAAGACCACAGTCATGGTAAACGTTGTTTATAATTCCAGACAGAGCTGTTTTTCTGGAGTTGATGTCTCACCCATAAAGTCAGCATACTGTATAATAGCAAACATCTATGGGGGTAAATATACAGTATAACCCCCACCTGCTCCTGTGCCCCCCAGGGCTAGCGGTATAAATGCTAAATTTATGACGAGCGTGTGCCGAGTGAGACCCCAGGATGCGTCAGGTCAGTCTCCATCCCGAGAATTCAGGAACATGGAGCCCCCCCCCCCCCCACCAAAAGCCTGGCCATTAAGGTGTGAGCCCCGCCTGATGTATCATCAGCGAGGCGTGCGGTGTTTCTGCCCCGGGAGCAGTGTTTACTCGCTATGAAAATAAGTGTGAAAGGCAGCTGCAGCTGATTCATATTATATGATTGGAAGGGGATTTGGAAAGAGACCAGGGCCTTGCATTGGGAAGCGGGAGAGAAAGACTCCATGAGGATGTGGTGGGTCAAGGGTGGGCGGGGCAAGGCAGGGTGGGCGGGGCAAGAGAGGATGGGTGGGCGGGGCAGGGCAGGGGGCACTTTGCTTTAACTCACCAGCAGTAAATAGTATTAAGCTTAATAATGCGCTCACCTTGACTCACTAAAATCGTTATTGAGGAGAAAAAAAAAAACTGAAAAAATGATCAGCTAACTTTAGTCTGTTTTATAGTGGCTATATACATATTTCATTTAACATTTATTTATTTCACAGATGGCTTTGGCCCAAAGCAGAACAGAATCAGTGAGCAGGATCAGCCAGTCCCTGCAGCAGTTTGGGATAAAGACCTTTCTCAAGGGCCCAGCGCTGATGTGATTACTCTGCTGGCCACAGGATCTGAGCCCACAACCTTCTGGATGTGGGGACAGACTCATACCCCACTGAGCTACTCATTTCCCTCCCCAAATGCTGGGGAATTTGATTTATTTTTATGTCATTTAGAAGCACCACTCTGTGGGGGCCCGGTTCAGGGGCTTGATGGTTCCCACCATGGTGCGATCTGTGTTTATAAGTCACTAAGAAGGCTCTGGAAAGAAATTAGACACTCAACTCTGCAGGGAGGGTCAGTGGCGTCTCCCTGCACTGTCAGTGTCCTGACAATGTGTGAGTGCTGATATGCTGCTAATTGTCTCCCCTTGTTCAGAGTGTCCCTTTCCACCTCTGTCTAGGGCTGGTTCTGCCAATGGTGGAAATGGCACCAGCATTCCCTGTCTTTTGTGGCAGGAATGTGTGCCCCCCCCCCCCCCCCCCCCCCCCCACTTCCCAGTTCCCATCCGTACCGTCCTTTTTATGTTTCTTTCTAATTCTGCCTATTGAGGAGGGGGTCAGACAAATTTTAAAGGGCTGTGGGCTTTGAGGGAAGGAATTCATATAATCTACGCTGCCCACCCTATTTTGACAGAATAAAAGTGAGTGTTCTGATGTTTAAAAAGATAACACATAGTGATTTAGCAGTGCTGACTAGCAGCTCGTGGCTGGCGGCAGCCGGGTCTGTCTGAGCTGCTCCTTAGGGCTGCCTGCCCAAGTGCCTGCATGACTTTCTGCGTCGTTTTGGAGAGAATCCAGGTTATCTGGGAACACGGGGTCAACCGGTCAAATTCCTGCTGAGTGTGGGATATGAGGCTCGGAAATGTAGGATTAGACACATGACATCCTGTTTGGATGAAACCGCCGCCTTTCTGCGTGCAGAAGCGTGAAATCGGTCCCATCATGTCATGTTTTATGTTTTATGCATGTCCTGTCAGAAGATGGGTTTGTCCAGGCTGTTAGAGGGGCTCACGCTGGCTGGGGGGAGGGACGGGAGGCCGTCGTGTATCTGTCACAGGGGGACCGAGGGTGGCTCTGCCTGTTGCTGACCACGACCACATGGCTCTGCCTGTTTGCTGACTGTGACCGCATGCATCTGCCTGTTGCTGATCATGACCACTGCACTCTTCCTGTTGCTGACCATGACCACATAGCCTTGCCTCTTGCTGACCATGACCACACAGTTCAGCCTGTCACTGACAGTGACTATACGGCTCTGCCTGTTGTTGACCATGACCACGTTATTTTGTTTGTTATTGACCATGACCACATGGCTCTGCCTGTTGCTGACCGTGACCACATAGTTCTATTTGTTTTTTGCTGTGACCACGTGGTTGTTGATCATGACCACATGGCTCTGCCTGTCACTAACCGTAGCCACATGGCTATGCATGTTGCTCACCATGACCACAAGGTTTTGCTGGTTGCTAACTGTGACCATATTATTTTGATTGTTGCTGACCGCGACCACACGGCTCTGCTTGTTGTAGACCATAACCACAGGACTCTTCTTGTTGCTGACCTTGACCACATGGCCCTGCCTGTCACTGACCGTGACCACTTGACTCTGCCTGTTGCTGACCGTGACCACATAGCCCTGCCTGTGACTACATGGCTCT